ATATATATGGTATTTACATATATTATGGCATTCTAGCTGTAAAGTATAGTGCATAGTTTGAGCTTAAATATATATTTTTAATATATACATATGGTGCATAATAATTTGGAAACAATTGCTTTTCATATTACAATAACGGTAAGCTATTTGTGTTTATACAGATTAACAGCGCTATCATATATCGCATAGAACTACAGGAGACAGTACATTCACAGTACTCGGTTTATGTGAGACGAAAATAAATACAAATAAACATAACTACAGATGCAACAAAATTAAACTACATATCCTTAACAATTTACTCAATCACGGCTCTACAACAGTCACCTCAATGGGTGGTATAAATTTCCATATATGCGCCTGATGCTCGTCAAGGCCAGAACTCGAAACAGTGTTTAAATTGGCTGGTGGAGATGACATTTTTCCTAATTGACTTAAATTGGTAGCTTCTGGACAAGAACGTGTCAAAATACTGTCACTCTCTTGGGGCCTAGTTGCGCACTCAATGTTGGCCTTGAAGCGACCAGGCGTAAAAAATATCACAGAGCAATTGTGATCCAATTGCTCGTACTTCTCCAAAATAGGGATTGTAATTCTGCAAAATAAATCAAAATTATTTGGCACAAATTTATATTTTGAGGATAAGTGTTGTGTACCGGTTAGGTCCAGATATTGCAACGCGTGTCTCAAGATTGTAGTTTTCTATGCCGTTTAAGTAGTCTTGGTAGAATTTGATAGTTAATACCAAATGCTTAAGTGGCTGTAGTGATTGATTTGTGAGACTGATCGTTAATTTCGCACTCTGCCCAACGATGCACATTAACTCGCAGTGTGGCTGCACTACTATATCCCGAAAGCTTATAGCTTTAAAACAAATTAATTAATTAATTAAAAATTAATTTTTAAAAAACTCTATTGTAACTTACCCCATTGCAGAGGGGAGATTGTGGTCAAATTCACCATGCCATGTGACAGAACAATTCCACGCACTGAGGCAATGCCTTTTATGTCAGTGCCCGTCAGTAGCCAATTAATTTTCACACGGTCCGCTATATGGGTTGAGCAAAGCTTGCTGAGTGCATCATTAAAGGAAAGAATTTGCGTACGGAAACACAGCTCTGTGTTTGTGAAAATAGGGTTATCAAATGTAAACTATTAAATATATATTTTTTAAATACCGCGCTCCAGATTCTCAGCAACTTCAGCTGCACGTGCAACACATATTTGCTCTAATGAGCAACGGTCAACCGGGATAGGTACGCGACAACTTTCTTTGGCCTCGATGAGAATATTCTTGTTATCAGTGTAGTTGAGTGACATTTCTTGAGCGGTTAAGTTAGATATGTCCAGAACTAAGTAGAACTGCGAAGGGCTGCAAAAATTGTATAGATTAACACATCAATCGTA